GGCATTAAACAGATGTGCGAGTCACCGCAGTCGTGTCCGTGTCTGTCTCCGGCCGCGGCGGGTCCCGGCCCTTACACCAACTCCAGGAACGAAACTCCAGCCCCGGGGGCGCCCCCGGCTCGTCGCGGGGAGGGGCTGCCCGCAGGGGCACCCCGGGGTCTCCCCGAGAGCCGCCGGGCCGTCAGGGCCTGCCTGCGAACCGGCGGCTCGTTTTCTCCCGTTCGCTGCTCCCGACTCTCGGGATCTGTGTGTTTCACAGCTGCGGGCAGGTCACCAGGCCCCGTCCAGTCTCGATCTGAGGAAAAGGAAATTATTAATTTGGGGATGTTTGAGCAGTTAAACACCATTCTGAGAACTGCTAAGGGGAAAAAACCTTCCAAAAGGCTTGAAGTAAACTTCGAATATTTTGTTATTTTTCAGGGTTTGGGTGTGGAAGATATTTTCCTGTGATCTCCTGAAGGTATAGCTTGTCACTAGAAAAACATTCCCTTCTTACCCAAAGCTTCTCTTCTCTCCTCTACACCTACTTGCACTGTATCTAAAGAAAGTACAGATGAGAAACATTTTCTCAAACACACAGCAAATCGACACGAGTTTTATATCTCAGCATTGAGCAGCACAAGTTGTCCTTGCACAGAGCGAGTGAGTTTAGCCCAAAATGGCAGGAAATGCCACCATTATGTCAGCTTCGTGGTGCTGTCTGCCTTTTTCTTGGCTGCTTGAACCTGAGGTGATAGGTGCAGTATCATTGTCAGGGTTTGCTCTGTGAAATCCGGGGTTGACTGCCCTGGGACCTACCTCGGGACGTTTTTAAACGTTTCTCTGTGAGGATGTTTCTGCTCTGTGCGCACATGGGTGTGGGGAGCGGCGCAGGGTGTCTGATGGCCGCACATCTCACCTCGCCTGGCAGATGAAAACTCTTTCCTTCTCACCTGCTTTGAGTGCAGCTGGGTTATCCCCGGCAGCCAAGATGCAATCTGTGCTGTGTTTGGTACAGAAACGCAGTACAGGTGAGGGGAAAAACTGTCCCTGACATTCACCTCTGATCATAAACGTGTATTGCTGTGGGTTTTTTTAAAAATACATTCAGGCTTGACATCTGCATACACTTCATAGGGTAGCAAGAAGTACAAATACGGTTTTTTTTTGTTTTGGAGCTCTGCTTCATTACAATTTTTATTGCTTATCTCTCCCAGTAACTTCTGATGGAGGGTAGAAGGGCAGGTACAGCTGCTGAAGTGAGAGATTTCAATTAACTGCGTTTGACCATTTGAGTTCTTTATCAATTTCATATTGGTTGTACCTTGGCAGTGCCTTAAAGAGTCTAAAGTTCTAGACGGATCATGTATCACAGTGAACAGAAAAACTGAGAAAAGGTCTGTTCTGCACACGACTGTAATGGCTGTTGATGTCTCCTACTACTCTGATGTCTGAACCTCTGTTTTCATAGATACTTGGGGTTTTAGGAAGTTTCTAGTAATTTCCTCAAAAGACCAACCTTTTCCATTTCATTGCTGTTCCTGCCTGTGACAGAGTCTGACCGTAGGGTTATGTCTTGTCTTCACCTCCTAAGACAGCAAAAAATATCTTTGTTGTATTTTCAGTGCAGCCTTTGTCATAAAGTGTTAGATTTAACATTACTGCAAAGATCAAGCAGACAGCAAGAATAAGGAAATCTTTGAATTCACTGATGATTTGTGGTGCAAACAGTACACTTGTCTCAAAAGTCATATTGGCAAAGGATGAAAAAGTAATGGGTTTTGCACTTTGATTTTTGTTTGAGAGTTTTTTGATTTAAGAAATCTTAATATTTGAAGTTAAGCCAAATGCATATAATGGCAAGAGGAAAAGAGGAGAAGTTTAATGTGTGAGCTCTGACAGGTTTTGGGAGTTGAGAAAGTAAGAGCAGCAGAAGTAACACAGAGGAAAGGAGTTGTCAGGGAGAAAAAGGGTGTGAGGCAGGAATGTCATGGGAAGGACTGGCCTGGGCATCTTGACGGCCCTTGTGCAGAGCCCCTCCTGGACTTACCTTACAGCTGAGTGTCCCAAACTGCTCTGGAATTTTGGCCGAGAAGTGGCTTTGGTTGTGCTGCTGCCAACTTTTGTTACTTTATCAAGTGGGGGACGCTGTTTCTTTAACGGACAGATGAAGAGTGCTGGCAGGCAGCCCTTGTAAATGGCCTGGGAGAATGATCTGCCATTTCTAACTACAGCCATCTGCAGTTTTGTTTGGAAATGGTTAAAAGAAATTGAGGTAGCTGTGATTTTTCAGATATTAACATCAGGAGCCCTTTGCCTGCACTGTTCTTAGGTGGTGCCTACCAGAGAGGCAGCTGTGAGGACAGCTGTGCTCAGGGTTGAGGTGGGCCTGGCATTCCTCCAGGTGAAGGGACGGGGTTCTCCTGTGGCCTAGGGTTTGAAGTTTTGGGGTTTTTTTTACAAATAAGGCAGGCCAGTTCCAAAGGATGGTGTGTTCGTGTGTGGTGCTCTCTGCAGCCTGTATTACCTGTCAAATCAGCTAGTCTGTGCATGGCTGTTCTTTTTACTGTGGTTCTCGCACTCAGACACGAGGAATGTCTTTGTCATACTCTAGCTGGTGGCAGACAGGACAGTGGCCCATGGTCTAAACCTCTCACTGCTGAAAGGAAATTAAATTGCAGAAGACTGGCACTCAGACAGGTCTTTCTCCCTCTGTCAGTAGGAATACAGCGAGAGGTACCGTCACTTTGGCGGTCTGAAAACCAACCAAACTTTTTCTGTCGAGCTCCTCTTCCCTTTTGGGCAGGCAGTGCTTTCACCCTCCAAGAGCTGTTTCTCCCTCTGCCGAAGAGGCAGGGCAGAACTATTCCCTGCGCATGACGACGGTGAACACTGGGACCAGGTACCTGCAGACTGCGCTGCGACGCTGATGTGTGATGTTTCTTCTTTCCCAGTGGCCTGCCATATGTGCTGAGCGAGGGGAAGAGCCCTTTGTCATTCCAGTCCTGTGTGCACCTGGGAGGAGGAGGAGGAGGAGGAGCTGCTGCTAGACCTGAGCTGCTGGCGAGGGTTGATCAAGGTAAGCGTTGCCTCTTCTTACCCCCGTCCGTGTGACGCCGTGTCCATGGGTCAGCTCCTGGGGCTCTCTGACACCTGTGAGCTATCGCTCTGCTTTAGCTGCCTGGTTTCAGCCGTGGTCACGTCCTTACTTTGTGTAACTTTACCCAGTGGCTGACAGAACGGGAAGAAAAGAGTGCTTGAACTGAGTTGGCTTTTCAAGTGTCACTAAAATTGTGTCATGCTTCCAGGGGATTCTTTCATTTCCTACAGTACCGAAGGTCTGTTTTCTCACATCCCCCAACCACAGATTAATACTGTAAATGTGCTTAATTGGAGCCAGTGCTCCTTTTCTTGTTTGAGAGGTTTTTCTTTTAAGAAGTCTTAATACTTGAAGTTAATCCAAATGCATATTTCAGATGGCAAGAGAAAGAGAGGAAAAGGTTAATGTCTTACCCCATGGATGGGAAAAGGCTAAGGCCTGTCTGAAGGGGTGACCCCATGTAAAGTTGAGACAAATGTTGAAGTCTGGGTCCTTCATTTGCTCTATCAGATGCTCTTTTGTCTTACTTTTTACTACCTATAACTGTTCAGTGACCAGCATTTTACTTTGTCCTGGTTTCAGTGGGGATGGAGTGGATTTTCCTTCCTTGTAGCTAGAACAGCGCTGTGTTTTGGATTCATCATGGCACTTGGCAGGAGAAGGATGCTGGTAACACACTGATGGTGTCAGGTGTGGCTGAGAAATCCACGACTTTCCAGCTCCCTGTGTCCTGCCCATGTGCGGGTGCACACGAAGCTGGGGGGCCACAGCCAGAGCAGCGGGCCTGGATTGGCTGAGGGAATGTTCCAGATCACACAATGTCACCATCAGTGTGTAGAGGAGGGTGGGCTGGGAACGGGAAATTCTCTCTTGTTTCCAGGATTGTGGTTTCAGGATCTTGGTATTTTGGGATCGCTGGCTGGGAACAGGCTGGGTGCTGAGCAGTCACATTGTGCATTACCCATTTGTACTCTCTATTATGGCTTTTGTTTTATTTCATCACAATTACTAAACTTTTTATCTCAAACTACAAGTCTCCCTTCACCCCCCAGTTCTCTCTCCATCCTCAGTCGGGGGAGGGTGAGTGAGCGGGCGCGATGTTGGGCTGCCGGCTGGGTTCAAACCACGCTGTGGGTCTGTCCCCGTGGGTTAGAACCCGGGCTGGGTGTGTCAGAGGCGCTGGAGCTGAGCGCGGGTGTGGATGAGTGGGCCCCAGATGCGACCTCAGCGGGCACTGCCTGCAGTGATTTCTGTAGCTGTGCAGGAGGATTGAACGGTGGGTGCTGCGCTGCGGAGAGCCTGGGGAGTACAGGGTATGGATTCTCAGGAAGCATTGCATCTTCCTGCATGTGCGTTCATGTTTCATGTGTTTTTGCTTTGTTTGTTTTTCATGGGAAAAGTGTTTTCCTCTTTAGGTTGACTTCAGGTATAACAGGAATAGAAATGGGGTGAAATCAGTCGTAATCGAGGAGGGACTCCTGCAGGGTGTGCACAGAGAGCTGGCATAATGAGAGACTTAGGGTTCTTTAAATGCCATCATGGCAGAAATTAATTCTGTACAAAGCTCCAAAATCTAAATTTTTGTCCTTATGCATCAGCATGTGAATTTAAGCAATATCACTCAACTTCCTTCCACAGCTAACAACCCGAGCTCAATCTCAGACAGTTCTCATGTCTGAAAAGGCTTATTGGCTTCCCTCGGAGTAACACAGAACTAAAGAGACTTTTCAGAGAAAGTATTCTCTTTCCCCTCCTCCATGCATAGTGTGGTCATACCAATGAAATAAGGTGTCCTGTGGAGTAGGCAAAGTAACTTTCTGGATTTCCTGTCCAGAGGTGGCTAGTGAACGCCAGAGACACTGTCCAGGGGCTGGGCTCTGGGGACAGCTGAGGTGGGGAGGAACCTCTGGCAATCATCTCATGCAGCACCCTTGGCTCAGAGCAGGGTGACCTGGAGCACTGTGCTCAGGGCCGTGTCCAGCTGGGTTCTGAACACCTCCAGGGATGGAGGCTCCATGGTGTTTCTGGGCAACAGAGGAAAAAGGGTTTTTTTCTCATGCTGAAGTGGAATTTCCTGTTTGGTTTTTTTTTTTTTTTTTTGTCTGTTGCCCCTCGTCATGTTGCTGGACATGACTCTGAAGCGCTTGTCTCTGTGTGGCTCACTGCCCCCATCAGGTATTCATGCATACTGATCTCCTCCTCTCGAGGAAGAGCTGTCCCAACTCTCTCAGCCTGGCCTCACGGGACAGACGGGGCCAATCCCTGGATGGTTTTGGTGGCCCTTTGCCACCACCACTCCCGTTTGTCCATTGTTTCTGGTGCTGGGGAGCCCAGAGCTGTACGCACCGCTCCAGATGTGGTCCCGTGGGCACTGGCCAGGACAGAAGGATGAACCTCCCTCTGGCTGCTGGCGATGTTCTTCAGGAGTCCGGGATGCTTTTTGTCCCAGAAATGGTCAACTTGACCCGCTTATGCTCAACCTGTCCCGCCCCCAGGCCCTTTTCTGCAAACCTGCTCTCCAGGCAGTGGGCCCCCAGCCCCTCTCCCTCCCCAGTGCAGGACTTGGCAGTTACCTTTGTTGTCCTTCCTGAGGGTCCTCTCTGCCCACTCCCCCAGCCCGGGGGTGCCCCCCAACAGCACCACAACCACTCCACCCACCAACCGCTGCTCCCAGCCCTGGTCCTCTGCAGACGCGCCGAGGGTGCGTTTGTCCCATCAGCCAGCTCTCAGAGCGTCTGTTTAAAAACCACTATCACCAAGTCTGCGAGAAGGGAAATGGGGGCATTAGTCCTAGCTCCACCAAAAAGACTGCTAAAGGTTGTCGATAACGATGGCTGAACGGGTGGCAGTACAGGGCAGTTGTAGCTGAGGTTGAGCTGGGCAGACACAGCTTGCAGGAGTATCCTCCTCGCATCTGGGAGCGCTCTGGCTGTGTTTCCAGGGCATTGAGACTCAGTGTGTAAGCCCTGGTGGGCTGGTTTGTATGAAGGCTGCAGATTTGGTATGCTACCTTTACTGTTCTTTGTTTTTTAATGCCACTTCCAGACCTGAGCTTGTGCAGAACTGGGTATTGTAGCCCTAGCACTTCTGCTCTTAGGTTTCATTCTGAAGTGCCAGTTCAGGTGGCTGCAGCCCAGGTGTAGACAGGTTCCTGGTTACTTCTCTCAAATATCGCTGAATGTTCCTTTCCTGCTCTTTCAGTTATGTACATAAGATGTTACTTAGCAAGACAAGTTGCAAAGTACCCAGAACTAGTACTAGTCGGCAGAACAATCAAACCTGGATTGAGACACTCATTTGGCTGTGACCAGTGCAAGTACCCTGGTCTTGAGCCCAGATGGAGGGGAGCTGTGGAAGCTGAGAGCACATTAAGTGCAATTTTCAGAAGCTGGAGTACTTGAGGTTAAAGTAGTAGTTAGAATTAAACCAGATTCACCCTTAAGTCGCTTCTACTCTTACAGATTTGAGCGCCAATTACTGTAGCTGTTAAGTCTGCTCAGTTTTAGCTTCTGTACACAGAGCTCTGTGACTAACCTCAGCAGTTTCAGAAAGGCCAAAGGTATCATTTGAAAGATGGTTTGGGACATGCATACACGACCGGTCTGAGACAACCCTTTGTTTTTTTGTAGATACAGACTGTTTGGTTTCCAGAATGTTTGCTGAGTATGAAGACAGGGAGGATACTGAAATGTATGAAGATGAACTTTATCGTGAGGAGTCATCCAGTGAGCAGAGTGTTGACACTGAGGTGGAGTTTCATCTCTACAGCCAGATCCACTATTCCCAAAACCTTGGAGAAATCAGCAACCTGGAAACGGGTGAAGCATCTGATGTAGCAGGAGTCACGGGCCATCGTTCAGCTCTAACTGAGAAACAGCCTGAAGACAAGACCATCACTGAAATCATTGATTGTGATGCTCAGCTCTCCGATGATGACCCTGAGGTCATCGTCCTGTCCGACACACCGGATGAAGACAGTGTTTACAAAAGCAAAGCCAAGAAGTCAGCAAAGTCCTTAGCACAAGGGGACACACGCAGCCGTCCAGGATCTTCCACCCCAGATTATGCCAGGGCTGCTGGAGGTAACGCCCTGTACCCTGCTGGGCTGGGCATGGACATTTCGAGGCCGAGGAAGAGCACTGCTGGGAAGGTGGACCCGGCAAGTTCTGCCAGAGCTCATGGCATCCAAGATGTGTTGGTGATAAACGACAGCTCGGAGGAGGACAGCGTGGTATCCGAAAGTGATAATGTCGAGAGCTGGATGATTTTGGGAACCAGTGCTGATGACAGAGATGAAGATATAATTTTGAACCTTGAAGGCTGTGCAACCCCTGTCAGTGAAGGTTAGTACTTTTTTTATGGCTTGTTTATTCATCCACATGTGGGAGGATTTGTCTGCAACGATACTGATGTCAATGCTTGAAAAGAAAGATAAGCAGAAAGCAAATTGGAAGGCGTAATGATGGGTGCGAAACTATGATGAAGGAAATAGCCATTTATTTATACCATTTCAATACCATTATTTCAGGAGTGCCACATATGGAAAGACAGCATTTTTGCTGGTAGACATTCAGAAGTGATGTCAGAGTGATTCATACTGTGAACTTGCCAACTTTCCTGTATATTATGTATTCCTAAGAGCATATAAGAAGTTGCAGGGGAAAGGAGGTGAACTAAAGAGGGAATACAGCGGTTTCTTATGTAAACAAAGTAGAAAAAAGAAATTTTGAGGACTAAAGACATAAAAATCAGAGGTGGGAACTGCGTAACAGTAAAATTTTGCCGAAGAGTGCTGCAGGGCAGGAGAGTTATGGGTGTCACTCCTCTTTGGGCTGGTGAGGTGCCTGACCCCCTGCCCTCTCTGCCCCGCTGCGGTGGCACCGCCAGGGCCGGGCACAGCTCGGGAGAGGGATGAACTGCAGCAGGAGAGGGCGAGGGAGGAGAGAGGGGAGACCTGAGCCCGGGCTTCCTCCCACAAGTAGATGCTGTAACCTCTAACATTTTGCTTATTTTGCAAAATATTCTTCCACATTACCGTGCAGAAAGTTAGTAGGTGGGAGTTAGTGCAGCAGATTTTAGATACGTGTTTGTCATAATCATGTGCTACACGTATTAAAACCTTGTCACCAGCAACTCAGGCTGTTAAGACAGTCAGCTGTGCTTTCTTCGTGCCTGCCGGTTTCCCGAAGCACAAAGATAATTTCCAGAAACAGCGTCCCCTGCCAGACTGAGAGGAAACGCTGCCTGAGGAAAGGAGCAGTTGCAGCACTGGCAACCTTTGCAAAACCTTTTTTTTTAAAATTTTTAAAACAGAAAGTATACTGTAGTTTGAGTTGGTGCAGATGTGAATGAGGTGGGTTTGGGTGCAGGGAACTGAAACGTTCTGCGGCGCTGCTCTGCAGGCTGGCACAGTCACAGTGTAAACAGTGCTGCTGTCGACACGCTGCTGCTGAGCTCTCCGAGAGGGGAAAGCTGAGAAATGGTCTTTGCCGCCTTTTCTGGTAAAACACCTGTTTCTTGCCCATGAGCGCCCACTCAGTTTTTGCACGGGGTTGTTCCTGTGTGTGTTTTTGCCCAGCTGCCATGGTCCGTCGCTGCACAGGCCATGGTGTGTGCTCGCACTGCCATGGGTGACCAGATGCCAGCGTGCTTGCCCAAGCCTCGGAGAGTTTAGAAGGGCTTTCTCTTCCCACTGCAGTGCCAGGAGAGTGGCAGACCATGCACTGGCCATGCCAGCACCCCAGCCAGCCACATTATATCTGAATTTATATAATTTTTTCTCCCTATAAATCCTTTAAAGTGCAGTTTCTAAGAATTAACTCGAAGTTGATACATTTCATTAATATATTTATGTTTGTATTTCCATATCCCGCCCTCTTTGAAACTAGGGCTAATTTGGTGGTCTTATTAAATTACTCTGCCTTTGGGGAGAAAAAGCTTGATGCTGTGTGGTGACTGCTGTAACAGCGATGTAGTTGGTGCACAGAACAGTTAATACAATTTCTGGGTTGCATCTATTTTTTCTCATGACTGCTGGGCAGGCAAATGACCTGGAATGGGGTTCCTTTTGTTCAGTTTACTCTGTGTATCTCCTTGGATTTATGTACCAAAATCGCTTGTAGTAGCTCTAAAGATTACTCAGAAAAACCCAGAAGATGGAAAATGTTTAAACAGTGCTTGAGACTTTAAGCATATTTCAAAATGATGTATACGCATTGTGGTAAACAGTCTGTGATTAGTTTATTGGAGCGATTATGCTGACTGGGTGTAACTGGGGATGGCAGTTGATGTCTTTGGGCCGTTCTAACGGAGTGTGCCACTGCGAACTGGGAGTGGCTTTTAAAAGTCAGTGCTGGAGGTTAATGTCAGGAGGCAGTTTTGCTAACTTACGCTATGCTTTTGTAACAAATGTGGTAATGTTTGCTGTCCATCTATATATTCCATGAAGTTGGCAACAAGCAAGCCACGTCCAGGGCAGGTGACGGGAGCAGAATTTCTGTGTGCTGTATAAACTTGTCAGGCTGTTCAGAACGAAAATCATTTCACTAATGTGGGCTCTGCAAACATTTTTTGAGGTGCTGGAATGGGAAGTCAAAGATAGCCACACCAGAGGCTCATAACTATAACTGTCCTTCTCCGGCTCTGGTTTTTATTCTCAGAGCTCGGTCAGCAGCCCCGCACACCCCCGTCGCGGGTGCGTTACCTCCTCCTGGTGGCTGTTCCCCTCCTCCGTGGGTACGACCTTGCAGAAGGCCCGAACCGTGGGCGCTCCCCCGACTGCGACCGGGTTGACAGAGCACCCACGTGTCCCTGCTGTGGGCAAGGGGCAGGGCAGGGCCCCTGTCCCTCAGGGGGGGTGGGCGCCCCTCAAACCCCTGGTCCCAGGTTCCGGTGCCTGTGAAATTTGGCAGCTCCAGCGTGCAGTGGTTTGTTTCAGCTGCTCTGTTTCTGGTACAGATGGGAATGGGGATGCAAGGACACAGGCCTAAAATAAATTGGTGTTGTATGTCTGTATGTAAGGAGAAGCTAAAACAGCAACAAAATAGTTTTAGGGAACAAAAGCCATAAATCTTCCTAGTGTGAAGTAACCATAATTTGTTCATTGAGCTTACGCGTCATTGTATTTCCAGTTCTATCAAGGACTCCTTTGTGGACCAAAACATAACAACTTTAAATGCAAAGGCAGAAATGCATTTAAAAAATTACAGTTTTAAACTAATTATCCTCCCAGAGATACTCTCTGCTAATTCATTTAAATTATTTTGAGACAGGCACAGTTCTGTTTTCAGGGTTTCTAAAGAACGAGATCAAGTATTCAGGTAACTAAGTATGTAAATTTCTAAGTATGTAAATGGTAAATGCAAATATATTGTAACTAACTATGTAAATTATTGGTTTAGGGCCTGTAGATCAGTAGGGATGGACGTAGAGTGTAGTGGCTGCCAAAGCCTTGCCTTTTGCCTTTTTCCCCCAAAACTGCCTGCGACGTGGGACAGACGCCCCTGACAGCGTCACGGTGTGCCTGGTGTCCAGTTTGCTTCGCCCGAAAAAGGGAACAGAAACATCAACAATTCAATGGCTACAAGAGTAGCCGCTGGTGTCGGCCGTTGGATGAGTCTGTTTTCATATCTGAGTCCCTGAAATAGAGATTGTGAGGTTCCACTGGAGTCAGATCTGACTCCCCAAGGCAAAGAATTAGGTGTATCTCCCTATTCTCCTGACTCCTCTACATCTTACTTGCCTGCCCTGCTCTTGTCCAACAGCCTTATTATTTTTAATATTCCCTGTAAACAAATAACGCTTTCTTGATGTCTCCAGCGCAGAGTCTCCTCCCACACAGCCTCTCTCTTCGGTCACACTGTCCGCTGTGACACACAGGGATGTCCCTTTGCCTTGGGCAGAGCTCCGGTTCCGGACGGCAAATCCAGATTCACCTTCAGCCGACATGTTGAGGGTTATGGCTGGTCCACAAACCTCCAGTACGCAGCTGAAAACCTTTCCTCCCTTTTTAGCCCTTTTCCCAAATGGCTTTAGATGCCTTTCACTTTTTATTTTTGCTTGTCTTAATACTCCTGTGTTTGCAAAACATATTTGTGCCTGCATTTCTGTAAAACACAGCCCTGCGTCATGCAGCTGCTGGTTTCTTGCAAAGAGGGTCCTACCCCCTTCACAATCTGTTTTAAAAATGGGTAATTCAGCAAATGTAGGTCTCTGGTATGATTTACTCGATTTTTAAAAACGCTTAGAGTCCAGAAGAAAGTGTGCAAAGAGAACTGTTACAAACTGTACCATGTTCTAAATGTGGTGAATTAATTTTTAGTGTCGGAGAGTTTCCAGGTCTTTGAAGGAGGGTTCTCCCCTCCCGCCCCTTCCCTTCACTTTGCAAAAAGAGTATATATGATAAGAAGGTTAATCTCCTGTAGTTGGAAGTCTTTCATCCATTCCTTCATTAAAAGCTTCCTTTTGACATATTTTTTCTCCCATGTATAGCTGCAATCCTAATCTCTGCATTTTATTTTTTTTTTCTTCACGGCTTTTGGAAAGACAGCTTTTAAAGCTGCAGCATTGATGTCCGGCCACTAAGGGGTACAAAAAACAATTTATCTTCTCCCTGTTTTGTCCTTTGCCCACCCAATACTTTCCCTGGAAACACGGGCCCATGTGGTCCCTCAGGGCTTGGCGGGTTTGCGGAGCGTGGTGGGTTTGGTTGGTTTTGAGTCCAGAGTTTCTGTAGAGCAGCACATACGTGCTCTGCTGGGCTCTCAGAGGGGCAGCGGTGGTTTCCTTTGCTCTGATTTTTTTTCCCTATTAACACAGTAGCCAGGCTGTTACAGGAGAATCGCGAGACAGCGCTTCTGGCACAAGAATTGGCTCCTAACAGCATCAGCCGTCGGGTGCAGCTCTGCCCGAGCTGGGGCGTCGCGTTCAGGTGCACGTGGTGGCCCCGCTGAGCCCCGTGGCCAGCGCTATGGCCAGCGCCAGGACCAGCGCCATGGCCAGCCCCGGGACCAGCCCCAGGGCTGCCTCCTTCGCAGCTCTGGCCGCCTTTTCACGGTGTCTGCAGGCAGAGAGACGGCCAGTGGCCGCAGCAGCGATTCCCATGTGTGCTGCTCCTGCAGCTGCTGTGCCCGGGTCCCTTCCTCCTCCTCTTCCTCCTCCTCAGCCCCCAGGGCAGGGTCCGGCTCAGCATCTCTTGGGCACAGTGCCCTGGGCACAGCCGAGGCCGACGCTGTGTTTTATGGAATCACCTTGTTCCGAGAAGCTGTGCTCGTGCAGCTTTGGCTCTGGTGGTAACCTCGGACAGACGGAGAGCAGAAAGCATAAAGCTCAGCGGAGGCTTCTG